AGAGAGGAAGATAGGGAGAGAGAGGGAGGAAGGAAGATAGGAAGAGAGAGAGGAAGGGAGAAAGATAGGAAGAGATGGTGAAAGAGAGTGGGAGGGAGGAAGAGAGAGAGGAAGATAGGGAGAGAGAGGGAGGAAGGAAGATAGGAAGAGAGAGGGAGGAAGATAGGAAGAGAGAGAGGAAGGGAGGAAGATAGGAAGAGATGGTGAAAGAGAGTGGGAGAGAGGGAGGGAGGAAGAGAGAGAGGAAGATAGGGAGGGAGAGGGAGGGAGGAAGATAGGAAGAAAGGGGGAGGAAGAGGGGGAGGAAGAAGGAAGAGATGGAGAAAGATAGGGAGAGAGAGGGAGGGAGAGAGAAAGAGAGAGGGAGGAAGAGAGGGGGAGGAAGATAGGAAGAGATGGAGAGAGGGAGAGAGAGGGAGATAGGGAAGGAGGGAGAGAGGGAGAAAGAGGAAGAGAGGGAGGGAGGGAGGAAGAGAGGGAGGAAGCTAGGAAGAGAGATGGAGAAAGATAGGGAGAGAGAGAGAGGAAGAGAGGAGAGAGGGGGGAAAGGAAGAGAGTGAGAGCGAGGGAAGGAGGAAGACAGGGAGGGATTGAGAGAGAAAGAGAAGAAGAGAGGGAAGGAGGGAGGAAGAGAGGGAGAGAGAGAGAGGTGGGATGGAGAGGAGAGGAGAGAGAGAGAGCTGTTCTGTTTTACATCGATGGTGGAAGATGGGAGTTGTAGTGCAAGATACCCAGCCGAGAGGCTAGTGGAAGAGACCAGGTGTGCTTCAGGTGAAGAGGGTCTTTCTTCCTAAAGTGACCCTCCTTCTCTACCTGTGCTGAAGGAGGCAGCAGGACTGAGACACACACACACACACACACACACACACACACACACAAACACATCCTTCCTTCGCTCTCGCCTCCAGAAATCCCCATCTTCCACATCCTCAATGCCCGCATCACCTTTGGCAACCTGAACGGCTGCGACGAGCCGGTGGTCTCCCTCCGCGCTACGGGCAGCCCTGGCAGCGATGCCCCCTCGCCCGGGAGTGACCGGTCCAGCATTAGCAGCTCAAGCTCCCTCGGTAAGTGGGGAGGGGGGGGACAGACACACGAGGCAAGGGTATGGGTGGGTGGGGAACAGTGGTGAAATGCTACCCGGTTTGGCCCGGTTCACCCAAACCGGTAGTTAAAAAAAAAGCCTCCAACGATCAGCTGGGAGGGGAAAGAAGAAGCGGCTAGAAGAGCCAATCCTGAGCTTTTCTGTTCTTTATCCTCTCGGCTGATGGGCCGCGGCAGAGTCTCAGCTGGCACTTGGAAAGCTGCGCATGCACGTATTAGATGCACACGCCATGCGCGAAGTGCACAGTCACCGAACCAGTAGGGAAACGGGTAGAATCCCACCACTGGTCGGGAAATGCCCTGCAAAACCAGGCGGGGGATTCGGACGGCTGTCACCGCAAGTCAAGATGGCATCGCCGGCATTTGATTTATTTATTAAATTGATCTGCTGCCCACCTCACTGTCCAAAGGGACTGCGACGACCCGAAAGGGCGTGGCACAAAAGCAACCAAGTCACAAAAGTAGGCAATGACCCTTTAATTCCTCCAACTTGGCCCCCAATGTCCAGTTATCCTCGGCTGGATAAAAAAACTCTCCCAAGAACAGTTTTTTAAAAGGGAAGAAATTCCGTCCGAACGCAAAGTACATATAAATTATAAATAAAAAACCAACACAAACCACGCTGCAGCAATTAACTGGACAGGGCAGGATAAGGAACTGCAGACTTCCAAAATATAACGAAACACACACAGTTGGGGGGATGCCAGAACTCAGATAAGACTTGACAAACCAGCAAGGTGCTGTGCGCAAACACCCTTTTTAAATCCTGTTTTCCCAGCTGCAGCCCACGAAGGGGATCAGGGCCCTTTCCTCCCCTGTAACCCACGTTGCTCCCTTATCCGTTCCTCTCTGTGTGCCCTAGGATGAAGAGGGGGTGGGCCTGGGTCTTCCTCTGAAGGCCCAGCCGGACTGTGCCCTTCCCCAGTTTCCTCCAAAGCCACTGAAGCCACACTCCCGCTCCCTGTCAGCTGTTTCACCTCTCCGTCGGAATCAGATTCCAACAGGGGCATAACAGTGACTCTGGACTGTATGCATTTAGATGCTTGCTACAGGCAGTCCTCGACTTATGACCACAACTGAGCCCAGAATTTCCATGGCTAAGCAAGATAGTTGTTAAGTGAGTTTGACCCCATGTTAAGACATTTCTTGCCACAGTCGTTAAGTGAATCACTGTGGCTCTTTAAGTTCATAACACGGTTGTTTAAGTGAACCTGGCTTTCCCCATGGACTTTGCTTGTCACAAGGACGCAAAACGGAATCACGTGACCCCCGAGACACTGCGACCATCATAAATATGAGTCACTTGCCAATAAATTTTGAACTTGTGACCAGGGGGATGCTGCAACAATCATAAGTGTGAAAAACGGCCGTGAGTCACTTTTTTCAGCACTGTTGTAATTTTAAATGGTCACTAAATAAATGGTTATAAGCTGAAGACTAACTGTAGTTTTTCACATGGGTTACACATGTGTGGAAAAAGGGGGTGGCGCCCCCATTGCAGACCATCTCTGAATTTTTTTGATAAAACACTCCCCCCCCCCAGTATTTCTGGGCTCACCAACTAGGTGGGGGAGCCCCCTTGGAGAAGGTTACTGTTATAAATTCTGTTTATATAAAGCACCACATAGAGCAAACAAAGAGAACAGTCACCATGTGTTTTACTGCTCATCTATATAACTGTTCCAGGAAACAGGAACTCCTACTTAGAACAAAAGAGCATAGAGTATACCATAGAGCCAAACTTATAAATACTGCCATCTACTGACTGAATACCACTGTAGCTGTTGCATAGAAATACAGTACATTCCAACAATGAATCCCAACAGTTACGGAATATATCTTTAATTTTTTATTAATGATGCACGCAAGGCTCGGTCACCCTGCCCAAAACACACCCCTTGGATGGATGGCCATGCACTGAGATCATGTCAAGATGTTTTTATTTTTAATATATTTTTATTAATTTTCATTTTTACATCGTAAAACATCATGGTATCAACAACGTTCTTGGCATCTATACAGGATTTTGGTTTAAATATCATAATACATTATATTGCATTTGTCTACTACTAAATAATATATTTAGCTATAATTTCTATTCTTATATCTTTATATAATTTACAAAATTTTATTTTACTTTCTTAAGGATTGTTTCAATTAACATTTTTGTCTCACTTCTTGGTTCTGTTTGTTAACCATTTGTACCAATTGTTCCAAATTGTAAAGAATTCAGAGTCATCTGAACATAACTGTCCTCTTTTAATGATGAACATCTGGGTGATATCCAAATTCCCAGGTATTTCACCTTTTTTACTATTTGCAGTCCCATTATGTTTTCTAATTCTACTTTCTGTTTTGTTGTACAGTTTTTGACTATCATCTTAGTTTTATTTTTATTTCTTTTAAATCCTGCCACTTCCCCAAATTTTTTGATTTGTTGCAACAGTATTGGTCCCGAATTCATTGGATCTTCCACTATAAATACCAAATCATCGGCAAATGCCTGAACTTTATATTCCTCATTTCTAATTTTAATTCCATGAATCTCTGGGTTTTGTCTGGTTGCAGCTAGCAACACTTCTAAAGACAAGATAAATAACAGGCAATAATGCCTTGTCTCACTCCTTTTGCAATTTCAGCATCTTCAGTGCGATCTCCATTTAATGATACACTTGCTTTTGGATTTGAGTATATTTCTTGTAGTGTTTTTTTCCATATTAGTGCCAAAGTTCAGCTTTTTAATTTGATATAGCATGAATTTCCAATTGAGATTATCGAATGCTTTTTGCGCATCTAAAAAAATTAAAAGCTGCCTGTTTTTCTGGGTGAGCTTCGTAGTATTCAATCGAATTTAGTACTGTCCTAATATTGTTTTTAATTTGTCTATTTGGCAGGAAACCATTCTGGTGTGTATGTATAAGCTCACTCAAAATTGGTTTCATTCCTTCTGCTAATATTGTCATGACTATCTTATAATCCGTATTTAGCAACGAGTTTGGCCTATAGTTCGCAATTAGTTGTTGATCGGTGCCATCTTTTGCAATGAAGGAGATATATGCCTCGGACCAGGACCTCGGAAGTCTAGCTTGCGTTAATGCCTCATTATATAGTTCCAGTAATATTGGCTCAAATATTTCAGATAAATGTTTGTATAGTTCGCCTGGTAGACCATCCGGGCGTGGTGTTTTGTTATTTTTTTGTTTTCATATCGCCTTTTGTATCTCTGTTAATGTTATTTCTTTATTAAGTACTTCTCTGTTTTCTTCTGAGATTGTTCCTTCCAAGTAGTATCTAATGTTTTCAGACTGTTTCCCTCCAAGTAGTATCTAATGTTTTCTTCCATAACTTCTTCTTGCTTGTAAAGCTCACTGTTTTTAATGTTCTTTCTGATATTTACTTTCCATTTTAAAAATGGGAAAATAAATATTGATTAATGATTTCAGAAGCTTTGAGAATTTGGTGATTGGGACGATAACGTCCCTGGGAGTCAGTAGCGATTTAGGAGAGATTGTAATTAAAAAGAAAAGTTTGAAGCTTCTTGGATGGCAGGAATAGCCAACAGTCTAGAAAATAGGCTCAAGATCCAGAGGGATCTTGACAGACTAGAACCCTGGGCCCTATCTAACAAAATGAAATTCGACGTAGAGAAAAGGAAAGTCCTACAGTTAGGCAAGGAAAACCCAAAGGACACATATAATAGACAGGGTGAAACCAGGTTCAATAGCAGGAACTGGGAGGGGGATCTTGGAGTCTTAGTGGACAACCAGCTAAATAGGAGCCAATGTTGTGCAGCAGCAGCCAAAAAAGCCAATGCAATCCTAAATTGCATTAACGGATACAATCGAGATCAGGATCAGGACGTGGTGGCTCAGTGGCTAAGACGCTGAGCTTGTTGATCAGAAAGGTTGGTGGTTCGACGGTTCAAATCCCTAGCGCCACATAACGGAGTGAGCTCCCGTTCCTCGTCCCAGCAGCTTCTGCCAACCGAGCAGTTCGAAAGCATGTACAAATGCAAGTAGAAAAATAGGTGGGAAGGGAACAGCGTTCCATGCGCCTTCTTCGGCATTTAGTCATGCTGGGTACCTGACCATGGAGACGTCTTCGGACACCGCTGGCTCTTCGGCTTTGTAACAGAGATGAGCACCGCCCCCTAGAGCCAGGAACGAGTAGCACATAGGTGCGAGGGGCACCTTTACCTTTATCTTTACAATCAAGATCAAGGGAGGTACTAATACCACTCTATCTATCCTTAGTAAGGCCACACCTAGAGTCCTACATCCAGTTTTGGTCACCACACTATAAAAAAGATGTTGAGTAGAAGTGCAGAGAAGAGCAACCAGGATGATGAGGGGACTGGACACTAAAACATACGAAGAACGGTTGCAGGAACTGGGCCTGGCTAGTCTGTCTGTCTGTCTTGTCTGTCTGTCTGTCTTGCCTGTCTATCTATCTATCTATCTATCTATCTATCTATCTATCTATCTATCTATCTATCTATCTATCATCTATTTATCTATCTCATCTATCTTTCATCTCTGTCTGTCTGTCTGTCTATCTATCCTATGGGAGGGACTGGAGGCTAAGAAATATAATGAATGGTTGCAGGAATTGGATATGGCTAGTCTTGTCTGTCTATCTGTCATGTCTGTCTGTCTGTCTGTCTCTATCTATCTCTACCTACCTACCTACCTATCCTTAGTAAGGCCACACCTAGAGTCCTGCATCCAGTTTTGGTCACTACAAACAAGATGTTGAGACTCTAGAAAAAGTGCAGAGAAGAGCAACTAAGATGATTAAAGGCCTGGAGACTAAAACATACGAAGAACGGTTGCAGGAACTGGGCTGGCTAGTCTAGGGAAGAGAAGGACCAGGGAAGACAGGATAGCAGTCTATCAATATTTGAGGGGCTGCCCCAGAGAGGAGGAAGGGGTCAAGCTATTTTCCAAAGCACCTGAAGGCCAGACAAGGAATAATGGGTGGAAAATGACCCAGGATTCAACCTGGAAATAAGGAGGAATTTCCTGACAGGGAGAACTATCAACCCATGGCACAGAAGTTGCCTTCAGAAGTTGTGGGAGCTTCATCCCTGGAGGCTTTCAAGAAGAAACTGGACTCCCATCGGTCAGAAATGGCGTAGGGTCTCCTGCTTGGGCGGGGGGGGGGTTGGACTAGATGACCTACAAGGTCCCTTCCAACTCTGTTATTCTGATGGTGGTTGGACTCCCTCCTCGCAGGCTCCTGCCGCTGCTTTGAGATGGACCCCTCCCTCTTCGAAGCCCCCCAGGGCTACAGCATCGTCGGGAGGCACCCAGAGCCATTGCGGGAGGACGAAGACGACCTTCTGCAGTTTGCCATTCAGCAGAGCTTGCTAGAGGCGGGCAGTGAATACGACCAGGTAGGGGAGAACCGACCTGGAGGGACGGAGGGGCCCAGAGACGGGGCATCCGTGGGAAGGTCAAAGGTGAAAGGGGCCAGAAATGGCATTGAAGCCCATCCCATTGATAGGGTGCTGCAGCTACCAAAATAGGCATCCAGGGTGATTCTGTAAGGTCCCAGAAGTTTCCCTGAGCCACGGAGATGCCAAAGTGTGCGACGCGAGGGAAGGCTGGCAAAAATAACCGCTTTTTTTTTTATTCTTTGGCCAAAGCAAAAAAGTCTGGGTGATTACGGTGATGACCCAGGGTGGGATATAAAAGCAACAAAGTCACAAAAACAGGTGAAGTCCCTTTCATTCCTTCAACTTGGCCTCCAAGGTCCAATTATCTATTAACACATATAATATTCCAGTTTTCTAACTCTATTTCAAATACAAATACTACAATACAATCTTGTGTACTTTTGCAGAATCTCTTTAAATCGTATTTTACCCTTTATCTCTAAAAAAACCCCCTGCTTTTTAGCATCTTGTTTTAAGCCTTTATAACTTCTTTTTCCTTTTTCCCTTCCTTTCTTGTCAAATCTAATCTTTTTACCCCCCCATCTCTCAATCTCCACCCTTTTAGTCTCCCCTCTCTGTTGTATTTCTCTTTTCTGTTGCTTTCTGACATTATATCGATTTTTCACCTTATTTTTCCCTTTCTTGGTTGTTTTTTTAAATCTTGAATTCTCCATTTTCTTTCCGCCTTTTCCCTTTTCTTCATCAACTAAAATAGTTTGTCCATTAAAGATGGCTTCTCCTTCTTCCTCCCAACTTTCTAATTGCTGTATTTCCTGATAGGTAGAAATCGCCATTTCTAAGAAGTGGAAAACAGATCCAAAAGAGCCCTTGCCTTCTTGTTCCTCTTCTTTTAGCTTTTTAAATTCCATTTTCAATTCTTCCACAGATAATGCCATTGTTTTATTTTTATTTTTTTAAACAATCCAAGTGTTTTTAGGCTTTCAAAAAATAGTTTGCAAAAGTTCCAAAGACATCAAGCAATCCAAATCAACCCAAACTGTTTCATTTAGCACTTTCTTCTTTTAATACTTTCTCTTCCTGGGGTAGAGTTCAATTACACAATTCCAAAATGATTTCTTAGAAGTCTTTATTACAATTTAATCTCTGATCTTATAAACTCCAAGCAGTCTCCTCCAGCAGAATTTTAATATAAATCATTTGCCTCTCCCTTCCCACTTATAGCAAAAAAAAATATTTGATTTTAAAATATCAATGTTCAGAAATCTTTAATGTCCCCTTGGCTTTAATTTTCAAAATTAGTTACCTTCTGTTGCCAAAGCGGGTGTTTCCGATTTCCATTGCTATCTCTGTAGGGAAGGAGAGTGAAGCAGAAAAAAACTTTCCCTTTTCACTTTCATCCGCAACTTTTTACAATCTTCTTGGGAACAATGTATCCTTTAAAGAGCTAAATTTCCAGGTTGTTCAGATGTTACTTATTGTCCCGGTTCAGCCAAAGACTTTCACTTTCTCCACTTCCTCCTGCACAAAACTTGTCTGGCTGAGAGGTTCTTGGTGGCGGCCATTGCTGACCGCCGCTCCACCGCCTTTGGAAAAGGGAGTTTAGCCGGCTGAGGAAGGGGAGAAAAAAACTCCCCCACAAACAGTTGTGAAAAGGAAGAAATGCCATTCAAACTCAAAATACATATAAATGATAAATAGAAAAAAAAAACCACACAAACCACACTGAAGCAATTAGTGAGACCAGGCAGGATAAGGGCTTGAAGACGTCCACAGATATCGAAATACACACCCTGGGAAGGTAAGAACTCCGATAAGAAGTGAAAGACTAGAATTAATTCACGCTTTGCTTCCAGCACTGGGCCATGCGCAGTTTGTCCTTTTAAACAGTCCTCCCAGCTGCAGCCCATGAAGGGGATCAGGGCCCTTTCCTCCCCTGTAACCCATGTTGCTCCCTTATCCATTCCTCCCTGCGTGCTCCTAGGATGGAGAGGGAGTGGGCCTGGGTCTTCCTCTGACTGCCCAGCTGGCCTTTGCCCTTCCCCCAGTTTCTTCCACAGCCTCCGGAGCCACACTCCCACTCCCTGTTCCTCCTTTCCCTCGGAGTCAGATTCTAACAGGGGCGTGACAAATGCTGTGTCCAAAACATACAGACAACATGCATGTAAGGAATCGCCACACCTTGCGAGAGTGGCTCAGAGTATTATATACATTTTACGCTGATAGAAACAAAGTTTATTCAATCAGACATAAAGGTTTGTTATCAATGTGGGCAGTGTCTTACCCACGACCTTCCCTTTCTTACCGATGGAGCGGTCTTGGTCCTCCGTGCTCTAGCCATACCTTGTTATTTTACACACAGTATCCCTTGTGTGTCCGTGCTCCTAGGCGGCCCTCCCACTTATCTATGGAGCAGGATGTTCCTGGGAATGGTCCCCAAGGATGGGCCTAGCAAATTGCGGAGGCGAGAAACCAGATAGAAAAGGATACAATTCTCTTACAGAATGAATTCCCATCCTTAGCCAAATAGTACAAGCAAACTTCTTGAACAGAAGCAAAGAGCAAAGGTTAGATGGATTCGTGTCAACATGTCCTTTCATTTTCTTGAGGATTAGAGGAGATCTGGCTCAAAAATAGTGGGTGGGCCATGTGGACGGCGCAGCCTTGTGTTCCCGCGCAGCCTGGATTAATTGCTTTGGGGGGGGCATTTCTCTGTGGACCACCAAAATTTTCTGACGGACCACCAGTGGTCCCCAGCCCACCGGTTGGCGACCAGTATT